CGCTTCCCTCCCCCAGTGCCCTCCCAAAGCCCAGTGAGCACCCTACGACTCCTTGAGCCTAAGCTTTCCCAGTGTGGCAAGTCCAGGGGCAAGATGGAGGGCCAGTCCCCCTCCCAGGAGCGGCAGTCCGGGCCCCGGCAGGGGAAGAAGCGACACCCCGTATCCATGATCTCCCTCGCAGCCCGGGGTGAGCCGCGACTTGTGAGGTGCCTGCGCCTCCCACCCCACCTGGCTAACCTACTCCCTCTATGGGCGGGTGCAGACCCGTATCCCGGCTCCCCCCCAGTACCTTGCGGCCCGGCTGGTGCCAGGCCGCGATTGCTCCTCTCCTCACTCCTCCACGCCTCTCGGGCCTCCCAGCATTCTCGGGGCCCGCTCCCTTCTCCTCGGGGGCGACGGTGGGCGTCCTTCCTCCGCCACGTCGTGCAGCTGTGCGAGCGGGGTCTCCAGAAGCCAATTCCTGATGCGGATAGGTGGTAGGCGCAAGGCTCTTAGGGCTCGGGGCACATCTTCTGGCCAGCGCACTTGGATCCAGGCACTCCCCTGCCTAATCTGGAGGCTGAAGGGGAAGCCCCACCGGTAGGCTATTCCCTTCTCCCGCAGGGTCGTTGTTAAGGGCCTGAGAGCCCGTCTGGCGTCCAGGGTGAGGCCGGACAGGTCCTGGTATAGGGCCACGCTTGCTCCCCGGAAGGGTATATCCGCCATTCCTCGGGCAGACGTCATGAGGCGTTCCTTAAGGCAGTAGTCATGGACGCAGCACAGGACGTCTTGTGGCCTGCCATCAGGCCTCTGCGGCCCCAGGGACCTATGAGCCCGGTCCAGCTTGATCACCGCCGGGCATTCCTCTCCAAGGATCTGCCGAAAAAGGGCCTGCAGCGTGTCTTGTAGTGGCGCTGTGTCCGGTTCGGGTAGACCCCGAATCCGGATATTTTGACGTCTGCTGCGGTTCTCTAAATCTTCAACTTGGCACCGAAGGGAGAGGAGCATGTTCCCCTGGCGCGTGGTAGCGAGTTCAGCCGCTTGGTGCTGCGCGCGGATTGCTTGGGCCTCCGTTTCCAGTGCCTCCACTCTTACCTCCATTGATGAGAGGTCCTTCCTCAGGGCTGCAACTTCCTCTTTGACGGCTGCCCGAAGTTCCCTCAGGAGCCCCCCTGTGTCTGCCTTGGTGAGCATCTGTGCTGAAATCATTGCCAGCTCCTGTTTAATTAGAGCGAGTGTGTCGTCCTGCGTGCCGTCCAGGGTGGGCTCTCCCGCGCTTTCACTGCCTGGGGAGCCGTGCGCCATGTTGTCAGGCGGCCGGCTGCAGCTTAGTGTGCTCGGAGTGCACACGAACTCGTCGAGCGTCCCGGTCGGACGGTGCGGGGTACCCCCCAGGGTGTGAGGCTTCTTGTTCCGGACCATGGGTGCCGAGGTAAGTGCTTTTATTTGCGCGTTTTAGGGGCCAGGGGGAGCGGAGCTCATGGTTCAGGCGTCCCGTCGCATGCTCGGCTCGGCCACGCCCCCCGTTATTGTTCTTTTTATTTCTAAAAAATTTTGGGGGGTGGAGGGGTGGACCATTCTAGTAAGGATTGCTCTAACAACAAACCGGGTTGGAGTAACCTTTTAACATAATTGTAAAATATTGGGACAATAATAAAATCCGATTAAGATGTGCCCTTTTAAAAAAAATTAAAAAAAATAAAATGGTATATTAAGAATTTATATCAAGCCTGGTCTATTCAACGGTCAGTAGGGCAATTCTCTCCTGGAAAAAAAAAATCAAGTGACTTTTCTCCTTCCTTTGTGACTGCGCTATTTAAAATCTTTCCTCTTTCCCTGACCTATATTATTGATCTATTATCATTGCAAAAGACTTCCTTCCACCTGCTTCTAATATTTACTAATCACTGTACAGCCCTAAATGCAAACAGTGTTTTACATATTTCATCTATATTCGTTTTTAAAAACAAGCTAACCGATCTGAATGACATTAAAATGTCCTTAGCCAAGCAGGATCTAAACCAAACACCGCAGCATATGCCAACATTAAGAATATTATTGAGAACATCCGTTTGTATTACAGAGGAACCATCACAAGCCAGGATTTTGAGTATGTTGATTTTTCCCCTTATTTAAATGGACAGTCTAAGCACCAGAACCACTACAGCTTAATCAAGTGGTTTTGCTACAGAAGGGACTGTCCCTGGAGCACTTTACTAAAAACTCATCTTTGCTACACCTGAGCAGACTTGTTCAATCAATCAGAAAACCTGTTCTCAACCTTCTATAGTTAGACCAAGCTTCCATGTTATCAACCGGGTGCTTAAACAAACGCAGTTTGACGAAATCCTTCTTGTTCTTGAAATCTGTTTGACCTGTAGCAGCACTTCAGACTATATACTCTTTAAAAACAGAAAAGATTCCAGTACCTGAAGCCCGCTGGGCCTCTGGCACCCCTGCTGTCTGATGCTGTGAGGGACTGTATTTGGTACCCAAAGGGAATATGCCAATTGTGACCATACTGTGCTGTTCCCACCATGTGCTCTGTACTCCAGAGTGGCCTTGGTGTCTGGCAAAAATCTGCAGTCTCAAAGGACCACTATAGGCACCCAGACCACTTCAGCTTAATGAAGTGGTCTGGGTGCCAGATCCAGCTAGGTTTAACCCTTTTTTCTATAAACATAGCCGTTTCAGAGAAACGGCTATGCTTATAAATGGGTTAATCCAGCCTCTAGTGGCTGTCTCATTGACAGCCGCTCGCGGGCTTCCGCGCTTCTCACTGATTTTCACAGTGAGAAGACGCCAGCGTCCATAGGAAAGCGTTGAAAATGCTTTCCTATGGACTGGCTGAATGTGCGCGGCTCCTGCTGCGCATGCGCATTCAGCCGAAGAGGACAGCTCCCCGCCCGGCGCTGGAGAAAGAGGTAAGTTTAACCCCTTCCTCTCCATCCAACCCGGCACGAGGGGGACCCTGAGGGTGGGGCACCCTCCTGGCACTATAGTGGTCCCTTAAATTTACCTACACTGCTTAATTTAGCAATACTAATCCATGTTTACATAACACTGTATTTCAAACAATTTATTAAATCTAAATGAGATTTATTCTACCAAACCAAAATAAGTAGGGTGTAAAGAGTCAAAATCTTATTGGTTAGTTGCAACAGAGAGAATGCTGTATAAATAAAACTGATTTAGTGAAGGAGTCAGCTACTAGAAGACATAACAGAGGGGTGGGGGAAAAGGAATACATAAAACCTGACAGATGTAATGCTATGTTAAGGATTTCTGAATCTGAATAATCTTCCAGCTGAAGATCTTCAATTTGTATCATACACCATAAGTATCCAAATCGTGGTATAGGGAAATCCAGCAGGGTCACCGAGGAATAACTAGATACCACTCAAGCCGAAACGAGATCCATAAATTAGCTGATTGCATTAAACAGGGGGTCTCAACAGTAAACTAAATGTACACTATAGGCACCATAATAATGTTAGCTTAATGAAGCAGTTTTGATTTATGGATCATGTTCCTAAAAACCCACTGCTCAATTCTCTCCCATTTAAAAAAAAGTTACCCTGTTTATGCAGCCCAAGTCACACGTCGCTGCATGTGGCTTGCACAGCCTTCCTACGCACTTCCTGTATAAGTCACCTAATGTTTAAACTTCCTTCAATGCAATCTGTTTAAATTTAGAATTTTCTATCGACCACCATGATAGTAGCCTTCTGTATGCTGCAGGAGGTGTGTGTGATTAAAGTTAATTTTAGAGAGGAGTTAAACTTCTAAAGCAAGTTAACATCTGATTAAAAAGGAAACCATTTTGTTCATGCAGGCTTCAAGTCACAGCTAAGACCAGTGGTGGAAGTAATGTAGACAGTCCTGGTGCAAGAAAGGTTTTTGGGCCCTCTTCTAGTGCCAGAGTGGCCAAAACGTATCTCCCCATCTGTAAACCTCCAGCAATGCTAGTCCAGCTAGGGATCTATCATTTGCCAATTATTGCAGGGTTGTATTGTTGCAGTTTTTGTGCATTTGTAGGTAAGCTTTTGGAGGTGTACTTGTATGTGCTGTTGCCATTGGTGTATTTGTGTGTAGAGTTTTCATTTTAATAGAGGGTTGTGTTGGCTTTTTAATGCAGGTGTGCTTGTGTGTGTAGTGTTTGAGTCTATATAATTTTAGCGTTTTAATACAGGTGTGTTTGTATAAGTTTGTGTTTGGTTGCAGGGGTGTGTTTAGATGTAATGTTGGCTTTTAAATGCCACAGCGTACATTTGTGTGTAGTATTAGTGTTTGAATAAAGGTGTGTTTTTTTTTTTTTTACATTATTTTGGAGTTTGAATGTAAGGGTGTGTTTGTATGTAATATTTGTTAACATGTTGGTATTTGCTTGGATACACATGCACACATACCCACTTACACAGATACATATAAAATACACGACACATGAACACATCATGACAAACTGATACACGCTGACACGCGTGCACATCCTAGAAACACAAATGCACACACATACCTTATATTTTATATTTGCTGCCACCCTCCTGTAAGAAATTATGAGCATACTATACGTAAGGGGACCTCCCAACCTAACACTCACTCCAGCACAATGTTAAGAAATAACCGATTGTGTGCGGTCCACAACCAAATGCCTTTGTATGGTTATAAATCACATCTCTCGGACTGATTTAACTGGAGATGTGATCAGTTACTCTTCACTTTAAATGTCCTCAATATCATTACAACTTATTCCTAAAAAACAAACTATGATAAAGTGAGATCAAAAGAATGTGTAAGTGACCAAATTGACATTTACAAACAAAAAAAATTGCTGTGCATAAGTCTAGTCTATCACAGAAATCTAGATGTGAATCACCCATGTTTCACTTGATCCCAAAACCCTCTAAGAAGCAACAGCTAAAAAAAAAATAAATGCATTTGTACATAACATTTCAAATAAGAAAAAGTGGCTAGTGTGATCCACCAATGCAATGATTCTACAAGAACCATTGGATACATACGTAGCGTCAACATGCAGCTGCCAGGCATAGGAATAAAAAGGTAATTCTCAGAAATGGCACTGTTTTTAAAGGGACACTATAGTCCTCAAAATTAACTTTAGCTTAGTAAAGCATTTTTGGTATATAGATCATGTCTATGCAGTCTCACTGCTCTTCAGGGGTTAAATCACTTTTGTTTGTTTATGCAGCCCTAGCCACACCTCCCCTGGCTACACCAAAACTGTGTAACAGTGACCCCTTTATGTCAAATAGTTACAAAAGCATGATCCATGCAAAATGATAAATTCATTTGACTCTACCCCTTAAAACAAAAATCCAAATATTTATGCAGAGTTCTAAATGAAACAATCAGAACTTAATGAAAGTGTTTTACATTTTATTTCCAAATAGAATCAGCAGATGCTGCTATATAATGATGACAATATTATATAACAAGGTGATCAGGTTCAAGGAGAATACATGGGGGTGTTTGGTCTGCCATCCACACGACAATATTTTTACAAGCCGAGCTTGGTTCTTCTCCAGTGTCTTCTCTTGGAATTGTACCTATATAAAGAGGAAGATAATTATTTATATGCAAAACTGATACATAAAAAGAGCAAAATTATGAAAGTGTACGTGTTTTCCTGGCGCTATAGAATTCCTTTAACTTCACTAATATATCTGACAGAGGAAACTTCCTATTGATTAAAATAGATGAGTGTAAAACAATCTCAAGATACACACAGCTATAGTCGCAACTTGCACTTTTGCTTATATGAAAAATGAAGAAAAAAAAAAATTCCTTACTGACAAAGGATTAAATCAAAATAAGCATTTTGCAGGACAATCAACATAGCACCAGTTTCATCTGCTGTATGTGTGTAACTAAACAAATACTAAATATGCACTAAACTGCAAAATGTTAGGTTTCTAAAATCAAAAGATCTGATTAAATCACTACACAGGGACTGAATTCCCCACAGAAATGCTGCACCAAGGTGACATGAAATCAAGGCCAGTGTTTGTTCTCATGCACAGTAACATGAAAGGAACACTAGTCACCCAGATTACTTCATCTAAATGTAGTGGTCCTGTCATTTTAACCCTAAAATTAAAGTTTACGATTTTTTTTTCTCCAGACCTAGTAAAACTCTGAGAATCAAATGCTGCTGATAGCATTTAATTAGAGTAGTGCAGCTGTAAGCTGCACGTAGGACCTAAAATCCATTGCTTTTCTAGGAGAAGCAATGGATTGGAGAAAATTGTGGGTGAAATCAGCTTGGATGCAGACATCAACCGATGAGGAGCTGGAGGCTGCAGCGGAGGGGACTCAGCACTGAAAGAGGAGAGCCGTTATTCATTAAATTTTATTTTATAAAAAAAAGGGGTGAACAAAGGGAAACCCATAGACCCAAAATAATTGTTATTTCCATGGCTATAGGTTCTCTGTAAGTGTTTGTTTGTTTTTTTTAAAGTCCCATGCCAACCACACACACACAAAAAAAAAAGTGGGGGAAAAAAAATCTTTACACACCAGATGAAACATTGTGCGTATGATGGGGTCTTAGAATTTTGGGGGTTTTTTTAAGCCAAGAATTTGAGATACTGTACAAAGCACGACAATTTATAGAGCTGCTCTGACTAAAACTTACAAAGACTAAAAAATAAATTACAAAAATTCACACACATTCATAGTAAAGTATAAATCACATCTAAAAACATCACAGCCTAAAATCAACCACTGTTGATGCCAGCATGAGATTTCTCCTACAGTGAAGGGGAAATCAAATCTGTTTGGGCAGGCATCATTACTCTCAGCAGGACTAATGACAGCACTCCCACAGAATGAAGTACTGCAATTGCAACCTGCTTTATTACACAATACAGAAAAGGAATGGCAGAGACACCAGATACTACCCTAGTACCCCATTACTAAGAAAACATTTAGCATTATCAGAATGTCAAATGAGAGTGAATTTGGATTACAAGTAATATTGCAACAGTTTCTGCAATTTAAAAAAAAGCTAAAAGGTGCAATCAAAGCAACATGTCTACTAAAGCTCATTGTAGCGGTTATGTTGCCTAGAGACCCTGGGCAGTTTATACAAACTGCATCTAAACTAAGGTATAAAACAGAGGGACTCTGCAGAGAATCACACAACACAAGAACTACACCAAGCCATATATTGTTTTAGAGCAGGGTTCCCAGAACTCCGGCCCTCCAGATGTTGCTGAACTACAACTCCAATGATCCTCAGCCTACCCATTTCATTCATAGAATCATAGGAGTTGTAGTTGAGCAACATCTAAAACGCCCTTAAAAAAAACTATAGTCACAAAAACAACTTTAGCTTAATTATTATTATTGCCATTTATATAACGCCAACAGATTCCGTAGCGCTGTACAATATTACTGGGGCCAACTTACAGGAATGATAGGTTGAAGAGGACCCTGCTCAAACGAGCTTACAGTCTAATGAAACCGTTTTGGTGTATAGATCATGCGCCCCTGCAGTCTCACTGCTCAATTCTCTACCATTTAGGAGTTAAATATCTTTGCTTATGCACCCTAGTCACACCTTCCTGCATGTGACTTGCTCAGTCATCCTAAACAATTCCTGTAAAGAGTCACCTAATGTTTATACTTTCTTTATTGCAAATTCTGTATAATATAGTTCTTATCTTTTGCACTGTTAAAGGGACACTCCAGGCACCCAGACCACATCTGCCCATTGGCGTGGTAAGGGTGCCAACTCCCACTACTCTTAACCCTACAAGTGTAATTATTGCAGTTTTTTTTTTTTTTATAAACGGCAATAATTACCTTGCAGTGTTAACTCCACCTCTAGAGGATGTCTAATAGACAGCCACTAGAGGGCACTTCCTGGTTTCTAGCACAGGAAACCTGTGCTAGAGCGTCGCCGGACGTCCTCACGCTGTGTGAGGACCTCCAGCGTCGCTCATTTCCCCATAGGAAAGCATTTTCAATGCTTTCCTATGGGGAGCGCTAATGCGCATGTGCGGCATTGCCCCCAGCTGACGCAATCAACGGGAGGTGCGACATGGAGGAAGAAGCAGCTGCTTCTGGTAAGTGACTGAAGGGGTTTTCGACCCTTCAGCAACCGGGGATTGGGGGGTGGGAGGGGACTTGCAGTGCCAGGATTGTTTTCCTGGCACTGGAGTTTCCCTTTAATAGATTGCAGAACCCTAAAATTTTAAATCTATAGAGCAGGAGATAAAAACATTTAAAGTAAGTTACATCTGATTGAAAGTGAACAGTTTTTTTCATGCATGCTGTGTGACACAGCCATGGGAGATGTGGCCAGGACTGAATAGACAGAAACAGGAGTAATTGAACTCCTAAATGGCGGTTAATTGAGTCGTGTAACTTCAGAGACATGATCTATACACCAAAACTGCTTCATTAAGCCAAAATTGTTTGGGGACTATAGTGTCCCTTTACGCGCAAGGCACTGAGAGTAAATAGCAAGTGGCCAGGTTTATATATTGGCCATGTAAAACCCTAAACACGGTCTAACCGATTTTCTAGCATCAAATTCCAAACGGCCAGCGTAAATGAAATTTTATATTGCAAAACTAATTACAGATCACTCCTATGTCTACATTTACTGTTATGATCAGTGACCGCAATTATACTGTATTTTACACTTTTCCTAAAGGGCAAGCAAATGTAAACTGTCAAGGATGAGTGCATGTGCATTTGTAACTTAAGACACAGCAGTTCACAACCAACTAGATAAAACATGGCTTCAGTGACAAAACAATTCTACAATGATAATGACAATTGTTATAGCATACCTGATCTTGTTACCAGTTTTCATTCTAATCCACTGTGGAATTGGTCTGTTTTGTTTTTGCTTCTTGGCAAGAAATTTCTTAATCTTGAAAGTCTTGTGGGACGACTGCAACATTAAAAACAAATGGAGTTAGCAATTATTTAGCATATGACACGGTAATGTGCATACACAGTAGAAGTAACACTCCAAGCACCATAACCACTACAGCACATAGTGGTGATGGTGCAAGGGGCGCCACAACACTCAAACCATTTTAGGACCGTTTCACACCTCCACTACAACTCAGACCTGGAAGCTCACTACACCGAGCTAAGGCAGGCAGTGCTGGGCTTAATTCATTAGCCGTGATCAACCAAAACTGCAGAACTAAGTTTAGGAGCGCTAACAAGCTACTACACAGGAGTTTCTTGCTGTCCTGTAGTGATGGCAAGGAGGGATTGTTATAGTGCTTGGAACGCGCTTTTAAAGTGTATATTCTAGTTAGAGCAGTGGTTACATCACTCAAACTCATGTTCAAATCCCAGCCAGACCACCTCACCAATAAGTGTCCTAATACATGTCTGCCTATCACAGATTGTAAGCTCATATGAACAGGGCTTCCTTATCCCTTTCTCTAACTGTAAAGTGCTGCTGCAGAATAGGTTTACGCTATAAAATAATAGAGTAACTGAACTGCCTTCACCCAATCTGACGAATAATAGAACTTTAGTCAAATTTCTAAGAATTAAAAATATACAGTATATAGTTAGACCCAAGCAAAACAAATTAACCCCAGGACCCCACAAAAAAAAAAAAATTAAAAAAACAAAACCATTTTAAGCCTGGCAATTACTCATGAAATCAAGGGTTGTTATATGCAGGCATTACGTAATCTGCAGAATTTTTTAGACCAATATATTAAAACAGGCATTGTACAAAAATCTACAGTCATTAACACAGCAAGGATTTTATTTAAACTGTGTTCACTTAACCCCAAATTGCTTGAGAGGTGTGGGTCAGACAGCCTTTAATGGCGGTGTAGAATTCACCTGTATTAAAGGTAAATATGGAGACTTACACTTGGACAACATTGCTTTCATTCTGGTGTATCTGTCAGACATGAACTGTAGTACCATGGCTGCCATTGGGAATAGAGGCAGCTCAGCAAAATCACTGAGAACCATCAACACCATAGACATCCATAGAGAGGGGCAGCATCCTAATAGGGACCCACAATAACCCGTCTAACAGAGCTCATCCTGCGATTATCCCCTCAATACCGACACACCGGGGTACCTTAGTATGTCACCCACACCATGGAGCGCACACCGACCCCAAACACAGCACTATCGCAGAGGATGGCATCGGATTCACTCACCATGGTGGACCCTTGCAGCCCTGTCACCACTATGGCGGCCGAAAAAGAGGAAGACGGAAGCCTGGGGTCAGAGGTTAGAGCTATGGAATCATAGAGAGCAAAAAAAAAAAAACAAGTTAGTCAATTCGCGGCAGGACAAGATCGTCCTGGAAACAGCGATATCTAGCGGCATTTTGAAGTATTGCACCTATTGGGCACTGGAGTATTGTAAAAGTCAGTCAGTGTTATTTACTATAGTGAGAATTGCTGGGAAATTAAAGTGATGTCAATGTATAGATCAAACTCGCTGAAAGGAAAACAGAATGGACATGTAGAACTTTAACTAATTTGGCTATTTTGGCATAAATTTTGAAATTCACTGTGAATTCCTGACAATTTTCTCTTTAGTAAGAACATAAAAAATGAATTTGTGGTGATTTTCTTGTAGAAGTAACATTTAGAAAGTATGTCCCATTGATTCTGGGCTAGCGCTGGTACCGCCACGTAGGGCACCGCAGACGCCCCAGAACCAAGATGGGAAACGGACTACTGACATAAGCTGTTGTTGTTTACGTTGCTAAGCTATACTCTCACGCTATCCGTCGCCCCAGCGTTATTGCTAGAGGCAACTCTTTCCTGATAATCATATGTACTCTCACACCCACTAGCAATGCCCCTGAACAGCCGGCTACTGGCCAACCCCATGCCAACTAGCCTGCATGTGTGGCAGCACTTTCTTAAACGCACACTCATAAACAAAACCTATCACGTCGTATACCTAACTAGCCTAACATGTTTATTACTCACTATAACCTACCAATCATGCAACATATTAGAATGTTTACACCTGTTTAAAATCTTCAAATTGAGCTTACTTACATACACGCACACATGCACTCTACATCTTGTCCACCGACTCTTCAACTATGTGATGTGTTGGGAACTTTAAGCTTGCTTATACTATCATAATATAAAAATATGCAATGTTTCTCATGCCATTGTCTCACTAAAATGTCAATGTACACGCTGTCGATTTGTTACCCGCATGCATAACAAAAATAAAGAATTACCAAAAAAAATGAAAGTATGTACCATAAATCAGGACACAGGTGGGGAGGATAAGAATGGGCAGGCTGCCTGCCAATCACACAGGCCCGTTAGGGCCTACCATGCAGGGATCACCATTTCGATACTCTCTGTATGGCGCCCCTAGTATAGCGCAAACATGTCTAATGATGCTCTCGCAGTACATTTTTAGAGGACAGTTCCAAATGTCTCCAAAAGTAGGACATCAGAGAACAATCAGCTGAATGGAAATAATGGATTGATTAGCTGAGATTGGGATTCTTGAAAGGCTTGTTTAGAATCTCTCACACATAGTCAGTGTAACTTCATAAAAAAACACACTGAGCAATATCTTACATCTTCCACTGGCATTAGAGTTGCATCCTCGCTTCACTGGTTACTGGTAATGTATTTTTGGGGCTCATTTTTAAATATTTGCAAAATGTTATGAAACTTATTTAGATTAGTTTTGTGAGACATCTTTGACATCTGATTAGCTTTGAGGTTTTTTTTCCCCCAGTTTTGTATTGACTCCATTAACAACTCACTTATTTAATAATCTTTTACTTATTACTATTGACCAAATGCAGATTTTTTTGCTTCAGAAGTGATTAATTATATAGGATTGTACTCGCTGTATTGGTTATAGTGCTTGGAACCTTTTACCACTTCTTCATTGTCAATGTAAATTTCAGTCAACTAGGGCCTGGGTTAACACCCCCAGAACCTCAGTCAACCATCGCCGTCCAGGGTGGACGAAATTACAGTGGTTACGTTGCTTAGAATGCTTCTCTTGGAGTGGGAAGAGACAATAAGAGCAATGGTAAAGATAGGGAGAGAGTGTAAGAGATGAAAAGAGCATTGAAATACGGCAGGGAGAAAGTGCAAGTGATCAGAAGAACAATTAATAAAAAGGGTATGCCAAGTAGGAAAAGCAGTCGCAAAGAAAATGGAAGAGAACAGAAAAGATGAAGAGAGCTATTGAAAAGAGGAAGGATAGCATGAAATACATCCTTTAGATTTTAGGCTCATTTCAACTGCCCACTTGTTTCTTTAAGTAAAACAAGTCAAATCTTATAAACCCATTAAACAATACTGCAAAAAATCTTAGTTCTTAACAAATATATAGGGACTGAATGCACGGGAGGGAGGAAGAAAGAATTAGCAAAAATTTCAGAGAGTCTGAAAAAGACATGGTGGTAATAATAATACAAAGCAGTTGGAGAAACTCCCAGAGTAATTTGTCAAATTGTTTTAGAAAGCTTTCGCAATTTACTTGGGTTCTGCTGGGCGCTGATGGCTGTAACCCTGCTTTTGGATTCTCCTTGCAGGATAATCCAATTAGCGCCACTGATGTAAGCAGTGCTGCTCTCGTTGTCTGACAGCGTTAATAGAGTGCTCAAAACCAATGAGCATGGTCCTCTGCCAACTTCTTCACCTCAATAAAGAAACTGGATACGGAGTGGGTGCATGTGGATCCATCCTACAATGGTTTAAAGATTACTCTGGGAGTAACTGCTAAAGATCAACGGCCACCTGTAGTCTGCTTTTAAGTGCAGGCTTGTGAGAAAACAAAAATGACCCTGCCCCATGGCTCTCACAAATATTTTAGATTATCGCCTAAAGAGACTCCAACAATTATAAGTACTACATCTCACTACAGTGGTTATGGTGGCCCAGGTCTCCTGATACAACCTATCCAGGTAAGAATTAAAAAGTTTTAGTGGTTTGACAAGTATCTGGATCCTTCATGTAAATGAGGTCTAAACCCTTCTTCAGATCTCACTACAGAAAAATGGGCAGAAGTAATATCGATTCTGCCCACGTTTGGACAGAATTAACTGGGTGAGGCTGAGTATTATCCTGAGTTTGTAGATCTCTATCAGTCACCAAGTCTTACACATACTCTGCAGGGAGTACTTCCAAAGTGACAACAAACAGCCTGCAATACCTACTACGCAGACTGACAAATTAGTAAGGTAAAAAGATCTCTCTCATCCTCATACATGTAGCTGCAAACACAAGACAAGTGTTAATTATAGCACAGCTAAGGTTTTGTGGTCTTTACTCCTTTGTGATTAATATTTAAATAAGAATACATGTTACAGAAGCGTCACTGAACATGCTGTTACCCTGTCCATTGTAAGAATCAGATAGTGGAAGGAGCTTTTTCCTTGTGAGTAGCTAGTATTCCTAGTTAGAACTTGAACTTGGAAGTGTAAGTCCTGCATACTGCATTGTTCAAAAGGAAAAGGGTTAACAAAAACACACACACACACAAAGATATACATTTCAAAAGTACCTTTTTATTTTGTCCATAGAAAAGAAAAATAATAAAACATTTTAAGTTATATTTAAGAACATAATTAACTCTTTATATTATGCATTCTGCTAAAATAAGCAGTCGATAGTTTGAGATTATGTCAAAGCAGGTTTCTCATTGTAATAAAGATCTGTATGAAAATAATCAAGAAATAAAGAAAACTACATTTATTTTGAGTCATTTCAGCATTTTAGAGCAAAGATAATATATTGAAAAAAAAGATAAATCTAAGCATGATAAATGAAACAAAAGAAAACAAAACCAAACTTCTAACACCTACATTGCAAATTGTACTGGAATAGCTCTACTTATTCAGCCCATTTAACACCAAGCTGAAAATTCCATCGAAAAAAATATAGTTCTGTCATAACCCTTTGCCAACACAGGAATGGAGGACTTGTGTTTCTGTAAGGCCACAACACAGATTGTAAACAGGAAATTTCCACCTATTTCACCACCGCTTCACTCGCACTAAGGACTGGACAGTCTTACATATGGTCTTGTTACTACAAAAAACCCAACTTGGATTTTCAGCCAAACTCGTGCTTTGTCATCCCACAGATGCCCCAACAATCTCCTATGGACACTTCTCCTGCCTGTTCTTGACTCCTTCTCTTTGAAGGCACTTCTGGATTGCCGATTTTTTTTCTTTGGTTATCATTACGGGCAGGGCACACCAAGCCTTCTTTTGCTTTACTCTTCTTCTCGAGCATCATTGGTTTCACCCTCTGGTTTCTTCTCTGTGATTTGATCTTCAGTCTTAGCTGGACCCTCCTCACATGGGGTTAGTCTGCTTCTACTTCTTGCTCCAGGCTGGTACAACTGCATTGCTGGACGATCCTGGAGAACAAAGACAGCACATTAACATTTGGCATAATTAATCATCTGTGGTAGATTATATTGCTACTGTTACTTTTTCAGTTGTCATAAAAAGGTATTGCCTCATATAAAGATTGAATTATAAAATGCTATATTAAACATTACAAATCATTACCAACATCAACATCTTTGCCAAGTATTCGATTTACGCCATTTGATTCGGTTAGGAGAACCGAAGACCATAGACTACTTAAATATATATATTTTTTCAAAAAACAAATTATTAATCACAGAGAAAGATATCAGGTTATTTACGGTCATGAATGGAATTTTTCATTTTACAGTATGGCCAGTAAATACACCCAGATAGAGAGAGAGCCAGTAAAAAGAAGACGCAGCATACACAGTGGTCAATTCAGAGAACCCTTAGTTCTCTGCCAAGGTGATACTGATCAACAGAAAAGATTTACCAGAATGCATACACCAATGTGAACCTGGGTGTGGTCTGGTTGAATAAAGTCTGATCTCTCATAGTAAGCAGCAACAGTGGGCCTTGCAATTGCCCTTGTGTACTGCAGCAAACTGTGAAAAAAAATGTTTAATCTGTAAGTAGGTTAGAATAACATCAGGTTTTAGAATATTTCCTTGTCTGTCTGTCTGTCTATTATATCTACTTCTACAGTTTTTTTTCTCTCATCTTTTTGGGCAACTGGAATTCCAGAATACAGGCATTCTTGCCAACTGGCATCTGGGTGCTGCCTCATGATCGTTTGAGTTTGTCTACTCGCGTTTTATATGTAAACTGCTTCAGACTAATTCATATTTGGTTTGGTAATATAAGCAACTTAAAGCGGCACAATCCTCTCCACCCTCCATGATGATAAAATCTTTATATGAAATACTCATTCATTTTGTAGGAATTTGCGTTCCAGAAGCCCTTCCGCGTTCCATCTAACTGGAAATGATTTTTATGCACCCGGACAGGCATTTTAACCTGTTTACTGTAGATTCCTTTATTTATTTTTATACTTTCATTATCTTTTGTCTCTCCCTCCTTTGGCACACATAGGTAAGTTATGGATTATTGTATTTATAGATATATTTTGTGTTATTGATTTATGTTAATGACTTATTGTTTGACCTTTTCTTGGGCATTGCTTGCTATATATACACTTATGTTTGCTTTGTGGTGTTAGCTTGAAAAAGACCTCTTAGTAGGTCGAAACGTTGCTGCCTTTTTTGTTTCATTAAAACTGCCTACGGCTTTAACACTTTTAGTGACTGGGGAATTTCTTTGTTGCCTTAGTGTGTTGGGATTTCTGGTCCTGCTCCGGAGCACCGGTGGCTGCTGGGATTGAGTGCGGTTTCTATAATCACCTTTGAAATTCCATGGTAGTCAAAAGATATATGAACACAAAGTAGGGATTACTTTGTCTTAGTATATTTCATACGCTTGACAAAACTTGACAACGTGATGGCTGTCTAGTTTCGGATGTGCCAGAAGCTGAACAGTACTGGCAGGAAGGCGTAGGCTGCAAAGGACAGGGTCAGGTAAGTATAACTCACCTCCCCCTGCAACCTGCAGCCACCAGACACCCAGCAGAGCAGTCGCCATTTGGGATCTTTGCAAATAATGCAAAGCCTCTAGGCAGTGGCAGAGTAGCTTTAAATGTTGAAAGGGTCACTTAAGACAACAAAACAACTCAATTGTAAAAGTTTATGGCATAGAGAGTACCATGCATCTCCCACCATACAGAAAGTGGCTTATAACTACAGCCTTCCAGAGTGGTCAATCAGGGTAAAAATGACGAGCTGTCTTGGTGGCAGGCAGTCCTGCAAATCTCGGCACATAGCCCTGTCCATTAAACTGAACTGGCAGTATAATTGGTTAGTGGCTGCATAATGTCTACTACATGATGAATGGAAATGATGCTGGGAGATAAACAACTGTAGCCCATAGAACGGAATGAAAAGATTCTGACTGGAGCTGCTTCCTGCTTAGGAAGGGCTTGCCTGCTACTGACACTTGTACAAGAGCAGAAGCAGAAAAATCTTTAAAAAGGTAAATGCATAATGTGCAGTGAGGAGAGATGCAACGTGGACATTATAAATACGATCTAGAACCCCCTGGATAGAAGCCAGTGACTATCCAACCATATACAGAGAGAGTTAAGTATTGACAATCAAACCCACAGGCAAACACGGAGACCAATAGGATTAGCTACAGGTAGAGGTACTGGGGGGTACAATAACTGCATTACAGAAAACAGGAATGTTGAGCAGTGGTAAAAAAAAATTCTGTATGACAAAATCAAAGATTTAAAGCAAAAAAGATCTTACTACATTTTTTTGAAATTCGAAGATCTGTATTGCGGTAACGTATAGGTTCCTTCCCAGACTTGAGAAGTTCTATAGAAGACATCTATGAGAAAGATCATTAACGTCTATCAACTCTTTGGGCTTTGGACAAACTGGCAAATGGGCATATCTGCCATTTAGTCCAAGAACAGCTGAGTTGTAGCCTGATTATACAGACAACTATAGAGGTTTCTATAAACTACATGATGCTTATTTAAGGACAAGGATTGCAAATGCCAAGGTCATTCTGTGTACTACACACAACAGCTTCAAGAAGATGGTGTGCTGCATATAATAAAAATTTTTTAAAAAACCTACATAAAAATGTATTCTATGCCCAACCTTGTTCCTTATTCGATCTCTCTTTGCAGCCTCCTCCTTTTTCTCATCACGTGCTGCCCTCTCGGATTTATCGGAGTTCTGTTGACAATCAATAAGGTCCTGCTTCCGCCCTCTGTCTCTTACGTTGTCTCGCTCCTTCCTGTACTCATCATCTCTTCTCCTGAAACACCGATCTTTCTCATAGCGTTCTCGTGGCTTCCGACGATCCTCGTCGTGGTATCTCAGTTTCTCTTTCTCTCTCAGCCGCCGCTCTCTTTCATAATCTTTCTCTCGATAATCTTTCTCTCTGTAATCTTTTACATAGTCTTCTTCACTCCTGCATTGAGACACACCATTTTGAAAATCACAAACTGTGTCAGATTCTTATATATATATATAAAAAAAAAACAAAAAAAAAACACGCAAACAACAACAACAACAAATACTTGGTAAACATCACATTCTGTGCATGGTAGAAATGAGGATAGGTAGGATTAAAAGTAAGGTAAGTTGTCAACAACTGGAAATGGAAGGATAGATTTATTTACACAATTGTAAAGTTTGATGAAATTAACAATTGATAGATTGAGGCCATAATCAGCAAACCGGGAACATAGCCGAGTTGGTGTATTTTTTGTAAAGGGGCTATTTTGTTCTTACTTTGGAAATTTAACTACAAATCATTGTTAAGTAAATAAGCCCCAAAACATATTTTGAGAGTTCACTGGTCCTTACTGATGTTGTATTGTAATAACTATTGATCTGCAACACTTAAAAGGGACACTCAAAGCATCAAAACTACTAAAGCAAGCTGTAGTGGCTATAGTGCCAGGAGACCTCTGGCGCTGTTCAATGTAAGTTGTCAAAACATTTATGACCGATTTGACACTTCTTTGTCTCAGCTGCCCACTATTCTTCTGGTCTAAAAAGCTAAGCTAAAGCAGAAGTTCATATTTTGCATTAGCAGGTCTTTGGACAGTAGATTAATTGGCCAGCAAGTGTCAGCTATCGTTCTATGCCAATATGTGTGTATGAACTTCTGGACTGCACAGCTATGGTACAGCAGTAGAGCCTGTGGGCACCCATGACAGATGGGCAAGTGTCAAACCATTTGTAGTTAATTTGATAGCGACACTGGACTTCTGGCACCATAATCACTACAGTGTGCTGTAGTGCTTATGGTGCTGTGTAGCGTACCATTTAAATAGTTGAGACGTAAACAAAACATTTAAAAAAAAAAAAAAACACACGCACCTTTTTAACTTCTCCTCTCCAGCTTCTCCATCTGATCTTTTGCCGGAAGAGACACGTTCTTCTCTCACACCCTCCTTGTCAGTTTTTCTGGGTTTAAACTTCTTTTCTGACTCCCTCTCGTCATCTTTTTCAGGTTTCTTAAGCAGCTACGACATCAAAAAGTTTGTACTCAATATAACGTATGGCAATAAAGTGTGACCCCCTTTACTACCCCTCCACTGTCTGGCACACACATATTTCACATTCAATGTCACTGGAGAAACCCCGACATTAGTGTCCACACAGATAAGCACTCTCTCAAATTGTGCGTGTACATATTTGAGGTACATTGTTCAGTGTTTCTATGATAGGCGTGTCATGTGTTTGAGATGCATGTTAGATGGGTGCTGTATGTCATGTGGGCAATTGATGGGGATTATGGGTAATGCATGCAATGTATGTAAGTGACTATTGGATAAGCTATGTCCAACAGGTGTAGTGGCGGTGTTATATGCACAGTATGGGTGTTGGGTGCAATGTGACATCTTGCTCCTAGAACCAGACCAAACCGGTGAAAAACTCTTGAGAAAAAACAAAACAGAAAAAAAGATATATATATATATATCTATTCCATACCTTTTACATGACATGGCATATAGACATTAGCTACCTTTATTTTTGGTTCATCCTTTGAGCGCTCAGTCTCTTTCTCAGGTGTCCTTTCAAACTTTTTTTGTTTTTCTGCATCTTTTCTTTTTCTCCTTTCATCTTCTTTCCACTTTCTCCTTTCCTCTTCACGTAGTCTTTTTCGTTCCAGTTCTCTTCTTCTCCTTTCTTCACGTTTTTCGTCTCGCACCCTCTGGGAAAGCAAGCAAAACATAACCACTGAATGATATAAAACGAAGAAAAAAAAATTATGTAAAAATCAAAAGCTGAATGTGTTTTGAAGGAATAGCTAAGAGGCTAATCCATGCAGCATGTATACAGATAATGCATTTAAATGGGAAACAAAATAAATTAATAAAAAGATAATCTCCTTGACATTTCCTGCTGTTGATACACTTGTAGCTGCAAGCAGTGGAGAGCCCTTCCCAAACCAGGAAGGGTTTCCACTAACCAGCAACATCTCGCTCTGAGTCTCATCAGGAGTAATGTTTATATTTACTGCGGTAGCAAAACCATGCCACTGTTTAATTTAAAGGGTTACGAGCAATCAGTGTGGAGCCACTAACGGTGGCCGCAAACAAAAGAAGGGACCGCCCAGGTAGATTTAATCAATGCTGGTACCTTTACGGCATGACGGACTATGCATTCACTGGGAATTAAAGCCCCGTACAACGGCATATACCGTCATGTGGTCCTTAAGTGGTTAAGAGAAATAATGATTGTACACTTTAGAAATAATCATACCTGTCTATTTTTTAGGAAGCTCAACAGCGGTGTAGTCTTCTTAGCTAAGGACAAATAAAAGACAGTCAGACAAATCCCAGCAAACAGAACAAGACCACACATGCCAACATAAATATACAAATACAATTTGCACACATCAAATGCTGATTTTGGACAAAGCATTCATTAATGGACAACTGTCACCTCAACACAACAAGTTTTGAAAGGAAATTGATTATTTGTTAAATTAAGTTTATGTAAAGAAATGAGGAAACCCTCATCCCTATCTTTAGTAGATGACAGGATCCTTGTACAATATGGTCTCCCCTGCTTCACTCCCTGCACAGAGCAGTGACAATCACAGACTGTCAAATCCAAACACTATTTGTATGTATATGGCTGAAGGATCTTTTCATATAAAAATCTCATGTACTTCATTTAAATTATTATTTTTTTTTTAAATCTATTTAGTGTTATTAAACAAGAGTTTTGACATGATGGTTGTCCTTTAAATGTTTGCTTTAGAGATGTCAGGTAACAGTTCTCTGTCCCCTCCCCCGCCCTTATATATAGTTTTTTTTTTAAATCTTATCCCATTTAGGATAAAGTGATGTACTTCACACAATATCCACAGAGCATTAGAATAAATGAAAAACAAAAAAAATATTCATACGTATTTGAGGTTATTGCATTTGCAGTGAATTCCCAAGTTGTGCAGCTTCCGCTCTGAGCACTAACCAAACAAGGAAAAGCCTCTGCTCGCAACTTTTAATAGCACTGTTGAACATATCCCATAAGCAGTGGTTTATGTGCACAGCAAAGATTTCTGGGAGTTCTAATTCATTTGTCAATTTTCTACTGTAGAAAGCTAACAAACTTACTACAATTCCCAAAAACCCAAGTCACAACATTCTATACAGCAGTATTTCTAGAGCGGAAGGGAGAAATACTATAGGATATTAAAAGAAGCAGTGTAAGGAATACAGTTGTATTCCTAACACTGTGGTGTCCCTGTGCCGTCCCTCCCCAATAATCAAAGGGATAAAAACCCTTTAAATCCATACCTAAATCCAGCTGCATAGTCCCTCGTTGCTGCTTCCATCTCCACCTCTTCCAATATCATTGCAAGGGGGAGCCTAACACTCATACACGGCGAAAGGAAATAGGGACCTGCAAGACACTGGATGTCCTCATGCAAACTGTGAGGACGCCCAGCATTGCTTCATGGAGTGGCTCTAGAGGCAGTCTTAACAGTGCAATGTAAATAGTGTAATTTCTCTAAAACTTTTCAGCTGCAAGGTTAAAGGTACAGGGATTCTGCACCCATACCACTTAAATGAGATGAAGTTGTCTGGGTGCCTATAGTGTCCCTTTAAGCAGGAGAGAAACAGCTTACAGAGCAGTTATTAGGAACTACGACTAATGAACTAAATAAAGTTGATACAAATAAACACCCAGTATAACTAACTTTAACCTAACAGCTCTTTAGCTGTATGGATCAAGGATAGATTACTAATATTAAAGCAACCCTATAGGGTCAGCAACACAAACCTGTATTCCTGACCCTATAGTGTTTAACACAACATTTAGGTGGCTTGCACCCCCTTAAAAGCTTAAAACTTGCCTTATTTCCAGCGCCACGCGGGTCTGCTGGCGCTGGCTCCGCCCCCTTTGTGACAATCAAAATTCTCCCATGGGGAAAGCTTTGAATTGGCTAAAATCGCCACAGGGGCATGGCCAAATGCCGTTTTGGCCAATCAGGACCTCCTCATAGAGATGCATTGAATCAATTCATCTTTATGAGGAAAATTCAGCGTCTCCATGCAGAGCGTGGGGACGCTGAACGTCAGGGCTGCTATTTCGGCAGCACTGACCCAGGAAGCCCCTCCAGTGGCCATCTAAGAAGTGGCCTCTTGGAGATGTCCCTAGAGGCAATGTAAACACTGCCATTTCTCTAAAAAGGCAGTGTTTGTATGAAAAAAGCCTGAAGGGAACTATTATACTCACCAGAACAACTACATTAAACTGTAGTTGTTCTGGTGACTATAGTGTCCCTTTAAAGATAATTATGTTCCAATTTAACTTTTACCTATCATTTCCTTGTTCTTTGCTTCGATTTCTTCCAGCAAAGTCTCTGGTGTTGATGTCAGTTTCTCATCATCCATACTGTAAGAGTCCAGGAATTTTCTGTATTCAGGATCTTGTGACATAAAATTAAAAGGATACAGTTTTTACATTTAAAAAAAAAAAAAAGTTGAAAGCAGCGTTTTCAGAGAATAACTGTCTTGACAAATGGCTGTTAAACAAGGAGACATCACAAAATCTCAGACACCAGTTCCAATGGGAATAAAGATGCAGGGATAACCCAAATGTGAGAAACACAGAGACAGAAATTAAAACAGACACAGAAGTCAGAGGACAGGGAAATAAAAGTCCAAATCATTTATTTAGTATGGTCAATATATTTGGAGGTTTTTTTTGTTATTTTACCATCATCAATTGTTCCAGCCTTAGAATCCTTCTTCTTGCTTTTCTTTTTTGCCACTTTTTGAAAGGGGGCAAATTCCACAACAGCTGGATATTCCTGCCCTGGCACAGGGAAAAAAAAAAAGAATACAAATAAAAATATAAAAACATGCTACCAGAATAATTTGATAATGCTAACACTAAATATATATGTCACATCCAAGAAGGCTGCACTCTCAGACAAAAAATCTGAACCTTCTACTACAATTCCTGCATAGCATTGAAGGGGCACTATAACCACTACAAACAGTAGTTGCTAGTTGATATGGTACCAGCATGCCTCTGGATTTATCTGCAGTCCTGGATCCTCACCAGCATATTACTATCATGGAAGCAATCTCACGGCTGTCTATTTTTTGATGGCATTCCCTGGATAAGCAAGTTAGTCAACTTATTAAGCTAATGAATGCCGTACATAGATACTACAGTCAGCTGTTCTAATTTAAATATACCCAAAATAAAATATGAATATAATAAAAAGTACACAAATTATATATGGACAGCAGGTTTGAGCAGATAACTGTTACGATATAAATATTCAATCGTACCTCTGTGATCGATAAAAACATATCCATCAAAACGGTCTCTAAATAGCATTATGTCATCTTGACTTTTAAAGTTGATATATGCCCTTGAGAACATATGAGGAAATAAGCTGTTGAAGAAGCACAGTGGATTTCATGTTAATGAATAGAACATATAGACATCACATACAACCTATAGCATCATCCTTTTGGAAAAGGCTAATAATGTACTCTAGTTTCTCCACAACTCATATTTTATAGACAGCAAAAGAAAAATATAACAATATATAACACACATGCAGATATCATTAAACGCAAGAAAAATCTAATCTGAAAATGTTGTCACATTTTTTTTGCTAGCACATGACGTACAAGCCCTGTAAATATCTTTCTCTGTATCTTTTAAATGAAATAAATAACAGGAAACAGACTGCTGAATGGAGTGGAAATGTTTTGGTATGCACATGTATTGCAGCACAGTTTAAATCAATTAAGAAAATATAAACATTTGCGGCAGTGCTGCTCATAATATAATTTAAACACACAATATGAGACTTTTCAGTTGCTGCAGTTGCTGTTCCAACATGTGGAGGAGAACACAGATTGGCTGAAATATTTCAGCCACTTGGCAGTGTTTATACAGGTAAGTTGCATTCTGAGAAATTCCCTATACATGTTTAGAAGTGTGAAAATGTGTTTTGCTACATAGGCACAAACAATATACAATATACAACTGTGATGTTTATTGCAAGTTAATGTAATTCCGAAATCAAGTTGTTACCTTGAGTCATTGGCAAAAAATTCAAAGTAGTCGTGGTCTGGTAATGGCTGGAGATGCTCTTCCAACTGCTCTTTGGTTAGACTTGGAGGCAATCGACGAAGAACCACCTGTAACATAAAAGACTCCTAAATGGAAACAGTAATGCGTACATGCTTTTCTATAAAAAAAACACCATTCTGCAGTTTTTTTTTTTTGCAATAAAAAGATGAATGTATGCATGGTCTAAAATAAAATATTGTTGTTATTCTCCACTTGTGCACATTATTACTTCAATTTCACGTTTTGTAGCATTATTTATACTTAGTGTAATAAAAAAATAATAATAAAAAAAAAATAGATAAAATGTAAACGCAGTGTTCTAAAATTCCAAAAGTACCTAACATATCTGTATGTTAAAAGAGCGTAACAGCAATAAGTTTTAAAAAAGGATCTATCTTAGCTAATGTTTACTTTCACTTTTGGCCTATAATATCCTATTCTCTCTCAACTATAGACTTAACAAACAAATAATATTGTGTTATATTTATATATATTATTATTATTATTATAATGTTATAAAAACAGTCTATCCCTGATTATATTACTACAGATCTGGTGCATTTGCTGGATAAGTGGTTTATAGCAATTTATTCTTACAATATCCCATGTAAACAGATCAAGCAGTTGTGTAAGTAGGCTATGGTGTGTCCATGCATGGCCTGACAGCTCAGCTAGGAGCCAGGTGACTGTGTGCCAGCCCTGGGCTCAGGGAGTCCTGGCCAGTGTGTGCACCCAGCAGGCCCCAGGCCCTCTGACTGCCCTCACCTTGCTCATGACTTCCTTCTTCTCTTTCACCTTCTCCATCCTGTCCCCCTCGTCCACAGGGCCCAGCTCCCCTCTCCTGTCTTTGGGTTTGGCATTCTCTTTGTCCTCCTTCATGGCTGAGGGCGAGCTCTTGGCCAGGAGATTGTTTAGTGACCAGAAGTAAGTGACTCCTGTCGTCTACTACTTCTCCTCAACAATCTGCAGTCCCGCTCTCCGATTGGCTGCTCGCTCTGGTCACGTGACTACCAGTATGTCCTCTCGTGGCAGCCATATTGGATGGGGAATACTTTATATTTTCCCTTCAAATTTAAAAAAATAAATAAATCTGTTGCACTACACAGTAATCTGCTTCAATAAGTACATGCTTTACAAAGCACCAACTAAAGGTGCAGTAGCACTGGCTGTGTGCTGTTATTATGTCACTTTCCCATTTGGACTATTTCCCTTCCTAAGATGGACGCTTCGAGACGTCGTCAGTTGCTATGCTACTTCGGAGTCAACGAGTGCTAAACAAGAGAGAAGGCAACGCAGCGCAGCGTTCTCAACGCAGCCGTGCAGTACGAATTGTCGCCAGTGGGATTTATTTATTTATTTTTTTTAAATACAAACTGCTTGCAAATGGCTCCAACAAAATGGTTCCATTGTGTCAAATCGTACTGCGCACAGGGTGTTTGGAGCTCGGAAATCTGTGACGCAGTGCATAAAGCTTAGTAAACCTAATTAACCCTTTAAGGGCCAAGGCTTTTTTTTAAGATGCAACTCGTTTGTGCCATGCATTCATTCCACCACAATTTGTAAAGGAGAAATATTACATTACGTCGATACCCTATATGAATACATAACGCAAAATTAAATAGGAAGAAAATTATAAATGGGGGAAAATTAAAACATTTTTCCCATTCGTTTTATTTTGGGGAAATTCACATTATTGCAAACATCACAGATTTGTATTCTGCTACTGTACTCCAATACACATGTTTAGCCTTCCCCCTAATCCTGCCCTAGTCAACCCTTAAAGGACCACTCTAGGCACCCAGACCACTTCAGCTTAATGAAGTGGTCTGGGTGCCTGGTCCAGCTAGGGTTAACCCATTTTTTTTATAAACATAGCAGTTTCAGAGAAAAAGGTAAGTTTTTACCCCTTTCCCCCTTCCAGAGTATGTTTTCCTGGCACTATAGTGGTCCTTTAATGCAACCTTTATACTAACCCATAATCCAACTCATAATTCAGTTTCTAATCCTATCCGTAATCCGACATTAAAGGGACACTATAGTCACCCAGACCACTTCAGCTCAATGAAGTGGTCTGGGTGCCAGGTCCCTCGGGTTTTCACCCTTCAGATGTAAACAAAACAGTTTCAGAGAAACCGCTGTGTTTACATTTAGGGTTAATCCAACCTCTAGTGGCTGTCTTCCTGAGAGCCACCAGAAGCGTATCTGCGACGCTGGAGGCACATTATGCCTCCATCGCACAGAGCATCCATAGGAAAGCATTGAGAAATGCTTTCCTATGGACACTTTGAATGTGCGCACGGCATTAGCCGAGCATGCGCATTTGGCTCCACTGACGTTGGACGGGGGAGCTGACGTCGGCAGGGGAGGAGAGGTCACCAGCACCGAGGGAGGAGCCCGTCGCTGGATTAAGGTAAACTGCTGAAGAGGTTTTAACCCCTTCAGCGTCACGGGAGGGGAACCCTGAGGGTGGGGGCACCCTCAGGGCACTATAGTGTCAGGAAAACCACTTTGTTTTCCTGACACTTTAGTGATCTTTTAATCCAGGGGTTCTCAACCCAGTCCTCGGGACCCCCTACCAGTCCAGGATTTGGGGATTACCTGGGTGTGTCTAAGGTGTTTAGAAAAAGGGGGAAAAAAAAACCTTTGACTCTAAGGTGTTTTTTTGGTCTTTTTCTAAACACCTCAGACACACCCAGGTAATCCCTAAACCCTGGACTGGTAGGGGGTCCTGAGGACTAACGTTTAGAACCCCTGCATCTGACTCTAATCCAACCCATAATCCTTCCTAAAACCCCTGTCCTAACCCCATCCCCTATTCCCACCTCTCAAAGGATTCCCTCTGTTGATGTCAGTACTGACTTCCGCAGTGGGATTTCCTAGCTCGCACAGTACAGAGACTCTGTGAGCATTCTGTACTGTGTAATTGCAGCATGAGAAGGACAGCTCACTCTTGTGCTGTAGCTCTTCACAAATCAGATCCTGCTGCAGGAGAAAAGCGGGTGAGGGGAGAGGGGGCTGTGGGTGTAAGGGATGTCTAAAATTACTACTGCGACAGTTAACGGAATTTAAAGAGTTATGAGCAGCGATCACTTTGAGAGCTGCTCATATCCATCCTGTAAGTCTAGAGCCACTAACTGTGACCCCAGCTGACAGAGGGGACCCCCAGATATCAAAAGATACCTGGGGATTACCTTTTTTTTATTCTTGATGGGATTCTCTAGTGCCAGGAAAACAAACCCGTTTTCCTGGCACTATAGAATCCTACAGTGCCCCCCCTCCCTCACGCCCACCATTCCACTTCGCTCAGTCACTCACCTGAATCCAGGGCGGATGGGGGAGACCTAATGCGCATGCACGGCAATGGCTCTGCTCGCATTATGATTTCCACATAGGAAAGCATTGTTCAATGCTGTCCTATGGAAATTCTGGTGATGCTGGAACTTCTCATGCAAAGGGTGAGGATGTCCAGTGTCGTTTAGACAACCAAAAGTAATCTAAGCACCTGAAATGTCTTGTAGACAGCCACTAGAAAAAGACTTGATACCGGAGAAACTGACGAAAGCAAAGCACAGAGAGATGGACACAGGTTTCTTCAGGAAGGAAGAGATTCTTTATTGGATCACCGATCGGGACTCAGAGGGACTAATGTCACCAAAAATACAGCAAGTTCTGAGTGCCGAACAATAGTGCAGGCTCCCTATATAGGCACATAACTCCTCCCATATTAAGCTCCACCCGCACATTCTCTTGACCAATCATTACAAATAAGAATTAACTTCCTGCTTGACCGCATGGCTTGTCCAGCACAATGGAGGAGGGGAATACTACATCCTGTATTCTTGCACATGCTCCGTACACTACTGATCGTATCTTGCCTCGTGCAACCAACTGATCGATACGTCAGCATATGCACGTACACATGCCACGTGGTAATCTCGGCCTACTAAATTTATTTTTACCGAGATTCCACCACATTCCCCCCTTTGATGCCTCTTGATATTTTACAATTACTTGAGGCATCACTTAACCTTGGTTTGCATACACCACAAGTTACCTTTGAACCAGACCAGACTTATCCTATGATGTGAATCTTCAACACTCGTCTTCCTGCATTGGTTCTCCCTGATCTAGAGCCTTATATTTATAAATTGCCATTATCTGTGCAGCAGCCTTCCTCTCTGCTATATTTTCTATCAGGCTTTGCACAGACCTAACTACTAAGGGTATAAGACACGGCAGGAGTAGACACAACATTAAAATCAGTAGGACTCCACCTACCACTGCCTTAAGCCCTCCAAACCACTCATACCAGCTACCAAACCAACTACTTGGATTGTACCCTTTCCATACCTGAGTAGGCACATGCGCTAGTTTAACCATATGGTTAGTAAGCTCAGCTATTGCTTGCCCTTCGTCATCTATTTGAAGACAGCAATTGCTCAGGTTAAACTTCCCACATACACCTCCCTCTACTGCCAAAAGATAATCCAAGGCTAATCTATTTTGGTAAACTGCTGTCCTCATCCTGGTATTATGCTTCGCTAGAAGATTGAGCGCTTGTGATGTCTCGTTAGTAATGATCTCAACCACCGCCTGTAACCTTATAATGCGGTTGAGCATATAAATAGGGGTTCTATAACCAAAGGTACCATCCTCTGCCCACGTGGCTGGCCCATAATAATCTATAATACGCTGGGGAGGCCATTCATTATCTTCCCAGGCACCTATCTCTATGGGTCCCCTTTTCTTCCTATGATTCACATCATACACTTTAACACCTAAAGTCTCACCTGTTTCAATAGGCAACAAGAAGAAGGATGGTTTCAACATACCCAACACACATGCCCCTTCCCAGTCCTGTGGTAACTCCGAATAGGCCTTCTTACCACAGATCCAGTACAAATTCGCTGGGGCTCTCCAGTTAGATGTGATGGATAGATCAAACCATACGTCCTTTAAATTGGCATATCTTGCAAACGGGTTAGATGGTTCTGAGACATTTGAAGCCGACCACCAAGTTGTATTCTTTGTATCATCATCATAAGCTTTTTGCCCTAGACAAGTTAATTCTCCTACAGAAGTATTATACATCATTCCTTTCCTCGCTATGCAAACATAACCTATGATGGAGGTCTTCAATCTCCACTCAGATTTACCTCTAACACTCATATGATAGTCGGCTTGTGTAGATATTAATTGGTCAACTGCCTCAGAACCGGACATTACCTCCTTTGCTTCCCAAGGCCATTGGTCTCCCATGTTAGTACCTCCACACACATAGCAGTTGGTAACATTAAGACTACTGGCAATACTTTCGGCTAAATCAATGAACAAGTTTTTAGCATTATGGGGGATCTTATTATCTATGCTCATCTCTTCATAAAAGGAATGGTATACTTGATGAGTTTGGGAGGTTACCGTATCAGTCTCTATCCCTATAAACAATATTGTCCCAGGGTCTAAACCCGTCCCATATATTTGAAACCCAAATAAATTACCATATTTATCTAAGAACTTGTCAGGGTTATTTATAAGTATATGGATTGGATTGCATTCCATAGACTTACAATATGGATCGGTAGGCAACTTAGTCACAATCATGTCCTTGTCTGCTGTCTGTCCCCAAGTCGCCCACCCCACACAAGACCAATATGGGCAGAAGTTATAATCTCTATTTGGGCATCTTGGACTTACATATTTATTTTTACTACTGGGACAAATATATTTATCGTTAGACCCATACGTCCTCTCCCATCTAAGATCCCCACATACATTCCACGGCTTTCTACCACTTGATATTGCTTTACACGCATCAAATAGCAGAGCACCTGAAGAATATACGGATTCTAATACCGTCTTATTAATTAGGGTCCCCTGAGGATCTCCATTTCTGAGAGTCAACCAAATTGTACGGGGTTGATACTCAGGACTGAAGCACTTAGGTTCTCCTACTCCTAAATGACACACACTATATTCTATATTTAAGTATCTACATCTTGATACATCTCCTTTACACTCATATTGCGAATGCCAAATTAGGGTC